TAACGTTTCAACATAGATTACACATGTTTCAAATGAAATGTGTTTAATATTTTGTTTAGACAACTGAAGTATCAAGGATGATATCAATAAATGGGGGTATAAAAAGAAATTATCACAGTACCTGCCCATCTGTTCAGCAATACTCATAAATCTATGAGAGAATATTGATAGTTGTATAGCATCTAATTCTTCTCCTACTGTTTTCACTGTACCACTACCAATCTAGATGAAAAAAGCAATTGTTATGGACATGAAGGGTCAGGTGACATAAAACACTAAACTGGACTAAACTTCCACTAACCCCATCATATAGTAGGGTAGATATAAAACGTTTTAGGCAACCATTCAACTTATCCCCTATCCAAGTCCTATACCTTAACTCTATATTACCATTATCTCATAAACCAAACCAGTTGCCTTGAGTAGGATATATTTTCATTTTATTATATTTTCTTTATTACTATTAAAATAATCAAATTTCTAGTCACTGTAAATAAACCACGGAACCTTACCTTAATATTAATATCACCAGTAGTAGTAACAGTAAATAAACCAAGTGACCTTACCTTAATATTAATATCACCAGTAGTAGTAACAGTAAATAACCCACGGAACCTTACCTTAATATTAATATCACCAGTAGTAGTAACAGTAAATAAACCAAGGAACCTTACCTTAATATCAATGTCACCAGTAGAAGTAACAGTAAATAAACCAAGGAACCTTACCTTAATATTAATATCACCAGTAGTAGTAACAGTAAATAAACCAAGGAACCTTACCTTAATATTAATATCACCAGTAGTAGTAACAGTAAATAAACCAAGGAACCTTACCTTAATATCAATATCACCAGTAGAAGTAATGGTAAATAAACCAAGGAACCTTACCTTAATATTAATATCACCAGTAGTAGTAACAGTAAATAAACCAAGGAACCTTACCTTAATATCAATGTCACCAGTAGAAGTAACAGTAAATAAACCAAGGAACCTTACCTTAATATTAATATCACCAGTAGTAGTAACAGTAAATAAACCAAGGAACCTTACCTTAATATTAATATCACCAGTAGTAGTAACAGTAAATAAACCAAGGAACCTTACCTTAATATTAATATCACCAGTAGAAGTAACAGTAAATAAACCAAGGAACCTTACCTTAATAATAATATCACCAGTAGTAGTAACAGTAAATAAACCAAGGAACCTTACCTTAATATGAATATCACCAGTAGTAGTAACAGTAAATAAACCAAGGAACCTTACCTTAATATTAATATCACCAGTAGTAGTAACAGTAAATAAACCAAGGAACCTTACCTTAATATTAATATCACCAGTAGTAGTAACAGTAAATAAACCAAGGAACCTTACCTTAATATTAATATCACCAGTAGAAGTAATGGTAAATAAACCAAGGAACCTTACCTTAATATTAATATCACCAATAGAAGTAATGGTAAATAAACCTAGGAACCTTACCTTAATATTAATATCACCAGTAGTAGTAACAGTAAATAAACCAAGGAACCTTACCTTAATAGTAATATCACCAGTAGAAGTAATGGTGGCTATACCA